TCCAAATCATAATTCTTCTATGACTGATACAATTTATATATTAATAACACTTGAGGTTTTAAAGAATTCACTATGAACACTATTCTAAGACAGAATTAAAAAGTTAAATGTAATTCTTCATCCTCTCCTTCAATAGAAGTAAACACCATGAAGAAATAAACAGGAATGTACACAAAAACAACGGATACATTTAAATAGAGAATGGAGATTCAGAAGAATATGAGATCTCAGTTTGTCCACAATAAAAGTCCTTACCATTACTGTGTAATCGACCTGTGGTGCCATTTCAGCATTAGTTCCACCTTTCAAACGAAGTTCTGATGGAGAAGCAGCAAAGAGAACACAGGGCATTGAGACCTGCATTAAGAGGCACACACTCCTAAGGAGAAGGCAAAACAGGCTTAGCTGTATTTTCTTCTAAAAGTCCCCCAAAAGCTATTATTGCTCATCATACTAATTAAAGCATAGGCAACTGAGAAGGCAGGTACATGCCCCTGAGTTTAAAGTTAAAAAAAAATGCTTCAATATCTGAATGGTAAAATCCTGAATCCCAAAGACAGAAGGCCAGATGCAGTGGCTCATGGCTGTAATCTCAGCACTTTGGGAGGTCAAGGGAGGAGGAATGCTTGAGGCCAGGAGTTCAAGATCAACCTGGGCAACATAGCAAGATCTTGTCGCTACGAAAAATAAAAAAACTAGTAGCAGTTTATGAAAATGGATCGAAAACAGTCAAGGTCTAGAAAGAAATATTCAATTAATTATAGCTGACTTGCTACCTTGCACAAGGTCCTATTCCAGGTACCAAGTTAAGATATAGTTCCTACTATTGTGGAATTCATGATATAATAATTTTTTTTTTTTTTTTTGAGAAAGGGTCTCACTCTGTTGCCCTGGGTAGAGTGCAGTGGCATCATCATAGTTTGATACAGCCTTAAACTGAGAATAATATTTTACAAAGACTGATCACTGAATATTTTACATAAAAAAAACTGTAGGGAAATAATCCTTGCTTTACTTGCCTCTGTTTGGTCCTTACAGTCAAATCATCTGAGAAATCATGAGAAACAGTTACATAATAGGAAGAATTTTATAAATGGAAAATTTGGTCATATTTTTCTAAATGAGCTGTTATCTCCCTTCTCCAAAGGGAAAGCAATCATATTCCTAAGTAGACTGTAGTTTGAAATAGAATTCTATATAGCTTCTACCTACCAAAAGGTAGACCTTTACTTAACTTGCTTACCACAATGATGCATATGTACTGAACTAGAAGGCCACTATCACAGATAATGAATTTCATTAATTCAATAAATATTTATTAACTATGCAAGGTGTTGGGCATCTTAAGAGAAAAATTATGCAACATAATCCCTGTTTTCAAGGAGTTGCGCCTAGGAGCAAATTAAAAAAACTTGGAAGTGTTTAGCTTATTATAAACCATAGGCTTATAGCTACTAGATTTCTCACTGTTTATTCTGAGTAATCCAACATATAAAGTGTTTCTTTTTTCCCCCTTAAAGTCAGATTCTAATATTAAAATGGAAAATTCTTGATTTTAGGAATAAAGAATTGCCAAGACAAAGACAGACTGAGAAAATACATGGTACTGTAATCACAATTAGGGATAAACATGAATAAGTAAGTGTGATAAAAAGTGAGTAAGATGTGGTTTTCTTGCTAGGATTCTGCTTGCTTTAATCTCCTGAATGGAGCTGGATCATCAACTTTAAACTTATTTTCCATACATTCTAATGGAGCAGGAGCCAAAGGTCTAGATTCTAATTCTAGTTCTGACCCCAACTTTATGATCTTGGGTAAAACACTTAACCCCAGGGAGTCTTGACTTCCTCATTCACAAAGGGGAGGAAGGGTTATAATACATGTTTCTTCTTGTACTTTCAAAATTCTATTATGCTACTTTAGCTTATTTTTTAGACCATTGGTTAAACTATAACTTTTTCCCTCTTTCTGTATAGGAGAATGCCTAAATAATATGATGACTATAAAGTAAGCTCAAAATTCTTTAATTTTCTTAGGAAAGTTCTCACTTGGCAAAGCTCGCCTTAGCCCTTGCAGCAGGTCCCTTTTCATAGAGGTCTATTTAAATCATAATTCATTAAAACAGTTGTTTCTGAAACAAAATGGCATCAGGTTCACAGTAACATTTCTTAGCTCATCAAATTTCCTAACAAATGGAAAAATTTTGGTAAAACAAAGCTGCTAACAAAAGCAATCATCCAAAATAGCTGAGATACAAATATTAATTGCTCTCTCTGTTTTATCAATAAAAGAAGGGATACTTAGAAAATAAGAACTCGATTGTTAAATGTCTATCTTCCAATAGGAGAAAAGAATCAGAATTATATCTACAAATTTCTAAATAGAGTGGCATAAGTATCTATTAAAAGATAACAAAAACACCTAGACCATAAGTAGTAGACTATGGTTTATAATTAGCTATAAGCCAATAACTCAATTTGCTACAATGCAAAGACTACGGAACATAAAGACTGAAGTTGTTTTCAGATATTCAATTTCTTTTCTCTTTTCTCTTCCTTTTTTTAGAGACAGGGTCTCAGAGTCTTGCTTTGTTGCGTAGGCTGGAGTACAGTGGTATGATCATAGCTTACTGTGACCTCAAACTTCTGGCCTCAAGTAATCCTCCTGCCTTGGCCTCCCAAAGTGCTGAAATTACAAATGCTCAAACTACATGAGCCACTGTGCCTGGCCCGGATTTGTAAATAATAAAAAGCAAAGAAACAAACATGCTACACATTACTATACACATGAGAAAATTCCAGATACAATAATAGCTACAATTAACAAACAGTTACGTAGCTATAACTTTACATACATTGTCTCTAACCTTAAAAGGTAAGTTTCCCCATTTTAAAAGAAGAAACTTGCCCAGAAAGTGGTAAAACCTGGATTTAAGTCCAAAACCCATACTTAAATAAAATGTAAGTGACACATACCCTGCTGTCTTGGTATCTGCTGTGTGGATTCCACCTTTTATCTTCTCTGGCGTAAAGGTTATTTCTGTCGAACCGATTTCTGCCCCCTCCAGTTGCCCATCACACAAATCTCGAATCATTTCCAGTCCAGATAAATGTTGAGGCCTTCAGGTCATAATACTGCATCAAAACGTGTGCACTCAGACTGCCTATATCCCCACATTTTATGACACATTTATAAAACTGCAATGGCAAGAAAACAGCAAGGTCTAACCATAGTAAGTGCCACATTATCAATGTCAGCTTCCTTTTGGGTTTTTATGCACCTAGACTACCTGCTAGTAGGCATCATTTTAAGGGTCCCTTCGAGACCAATTATTTTGGTTATAAATACACAGACTGATGTATTGCTGCAAATTAGAAGTGTGCAAAAGAGGAAAACTAATAAAGCCACCTAAGAGCTACCACTCTCAATTGCACTTCACTGAATAATCTATGGTACCTGTATGGGCTAAATTGTGTTCCCCTCCCCCCAAATTCATATGCTGAAACCTAACCTTCAGTATCTCAGAATATGATTATATTTGGAAATAGGGCCTTTAAAGAGAATTAAGTTAAAATAAGGCCATTAACGTGGGTCCTAATACAATCTGACTGGTGTCCTTCTAAAAAGAGGTTAGGACATACAGGACACCAGGAGCATGGTGAAGGACTACAGTGTGAAGAGGCCAGAAGACAGGCCTGGAACAGTATTCTCCTCTTAATGGGCCTCAGAGGAAACCAACCCTGCCAACACCTTGATCTTGGGACTTCGAGCCTCCAGAATTGTGAGAAAATAAATTTCTGCTGTTTAAAACATCTAGTGTGTGATATTTTGTTATGGCAGCCCTAGCACACTAATACAGTACATACTACAGCCTTAATGAATTGGATTCCCCTATTGGTGAACTGGATTGCTGCAAATAACTGCTATGACAAAGGTAATTAACACTGACATACATCAATTAATTGCCTTTTAATAATTTCAAAACTGATGGTGGATAAAAGACTGATTTATTAAAATGGAATATATACAGAAAACATACAAAGAAACCAGTTTGGCTTCAACCTGGTCTTCTTCTATCAGGTGGTGCATATACCTGAAACTAAACTAGTGGCGTGTCCAGCTTCCCAGACAGAAGAAACAAGAAGGTCAAGCGTCAAGGTGTTTCTCTGTCCGCAACAGATAATTTTGGCCATATTCACAGCTTTCTGGAGGCATGAACGAAAGCTGGAATAACAGGTCTCGGGATTCTTTCTTGTACTATGATTCTAAAATGCGCGGTAGCACATAATGCACTGGCTATAAAGTGGGGTTTCCTCTGGCCTCACAAGCATTTTTGTCCCATCTACCTTGCCGTTTATTATGTCCTCTCCGGATACTTGGAATGCCCGATGAAGTGGGGAAACATTTTAAAAGACACCTCTTTAACAAGAGACAAGTTCAGTCAAATACAGAAAACGCTGGCCTGTTTCTAAACTCGCCCCTCGAGGCTTTCGAGACCACACATGGGCCCAGTCCACCGCCCAGGTAGAGCATTTCCGTGGTGGGAAGGGAGGCCCGAGTGCCGCCCCCGCCCTCCGCGAGACCCCGCGGCCCTGACCTTCTCGGATCCACAGCTCAGACGCCGGATCCCCTAAGCCCGGCGGCCTGGCCCGGATCCTGAGGTCCACACTGCCATCCCCAGCCCGGTGGCCCGGTGGCCCGGCGCCCAGATCCCCTAACTCCGCAGCAGCCGCCCGGGGTTTACCTCAGTCCTGGCGTGCTGCGGCCGGCCCGGATCTTCTGCACCCGCAAGGGGAGGCCCAGGAGACAGCTCAGGGCCGTAGAGACTCTCAGGATTTGGCCGCCCTGCAAGCGTCGGGGATGCCGGGGAGAAGAGATGTAAGAACACTAGAAGTGAACGCTCCCCTCCGCAGCCTGGGTGGCGCCCCCGCCGCGTTGCCTCCGGCTCCGTACTCACCCCTTCCATGATCCCGCCATCGACCTCCACCCGCTGCCCCGCCATGGGGGGCGCCCTGGGGCCCGGCCCGCAGCGACCAGGCCTTCGCCGGAACGGGAGGAAGATGACACACAGCCTCCAGCCCCGCAGCTCCGAAACCGCGGTCCAGGCCTGCGGCTGCCGGGGCCTGACGGGAAGGCGGAAGCAGCGACGCCTCCCGGGAAACCCGAGTCAGCGGAAAGGAACGCCGCGGAACGCGCGCGGTCCGCAGCCAGTGCGCACGCGCGCAGCGCAGCTCAGGGAGGCGGCGCAGGCGCAATTCCCACCCCTGCCTGGGAAGCCGCCGGGGACGTAGCGGCGGAGCTGTGTTAGAGCACGGTAGAACGCGTGGCTCTGAAAGTCTTGTGCCCAGAACACGGCAAAACCTGCAGGGCGCAGAAAACCTCCTTTCAACTGTAACCAAATCCTCCGGTTGTCCCGCAGGCTCGTGCTTTATCTCTGTTTTCTCGAGGATCCGGGCATACCTTGAGCTGCAGACTCTTACCGCTGAAGATGTAAGAAAGGTGCGCAGCCCGCAATGCACCGGGCACCTTTTCTCTGGTCGGGGTTGCCTTCTCTGCAGCTAGTCTCTTCAAGTGTGTCCCTGGTACATCGTTACTCTCAGCCTTTCATCCCTCGCGATAGGGGTGTGTGAGAGTATTATCATCTTTTATCCCCCGGCGAGACACCATTTATTTGGGGGTGGAAGGCAGAATCACTAATATGATACTCTGAAAAGTCAGAGGTATGCCACCTTGCTTGAAAGTGAGCGCAACTTGACTCCGAGGGACTGTGCTACTCACATAATTCCACCTCAGGCTGTTAGGGACAGAAAAACAAGTGGGAGGTAATGGAAAACAGAAAGGAGAAAGCAGTTACAGAAAAACAATTAGGAGGAAATGGTTGCAGAAAAATAAAAAGAAGGAACAGTTATTTTAGTGTTAAAGAATGAGGTCAGTAGGCCAGGGAACACTGACCGCCAGTCAGAGAAGGGAAATGGAACTTTCCCCACAGTACATGTAACATAACCTTTAAGTCATGTTCAAACGTAGAAAAAGCGGCTGTCTCCTTAGTAATCTCTTCAGCTACTCGCTTGCGTTTCTGAGCTTGCGACTGACTGGCGGACGGGAGTCCTCATCAGGACGAGATCGGACTCCGAGTCATGGCCTGAGCCTTTCATCTCAGAAGTTAAAGGTACTCTGTACAACTTCTGCCAACCACGGTGTATAACCCATGGGGCATTTGTAAGCCGTGACTGCCAACAGGAAGAAACTGGTTCTTGTTGATGATGGAGCTTGTGGCAAAGACATGATTGCTCATAGTCTTCAGCAAGGACCAACAGTTCCCAGAGGTGTTGTGTGCTCACGGTGTTTGAGAACTATGTGGCAGATATCCAGGTGGATAGAAAGCAGGTAGAATTGCCTTTGTGGGATACAGCTGGGCAGGAAGATACGACCACCTGAGGCCCCTCTCCTACCTACACACTAATTTTATACTGATGTGTTTCTCCATTGACAACCCTGATAGTTTGGAAAACATCCCAGATAAATGGATCCCGGAAGTCAAGCATTTCTGTCCCAATGTGCCCACCATCCTTGTTGGGAACAAGAAGGATCTTCGAAATGATAAGTACACAAGGTGGGAGATAGCCAAGATGAAGCAGGAGCCTGTAAAACCTGAAGGAGGCAGAGATATGGCAAACAGGATTAGCGCTTTTGGGTACATAGAGTGTTCAGCAAAGACCAAAGATAGAGTGAGGGAGGTTCTTCTTCTTTCTTCTTCTTCTTTTTTTTTTGAGACAGAGTCTTGCCTGGGCTAGAGTGCTGTGGCATCAGCCTAGCTCACAGCAACCTCAAACTCCTGGGCTCAAGCAATCCTGCTGCCTTGGCCTCCCCAGTAGCTGGGACTACAGGCATGCACCACCATGCTCGGCTAATTTTTTCTGTATATTTTTAGTTGACCAATTAATTTCTTTCTATTTTTAGTAGAGACGGGGTCTCGCTCTTGCTCAGTCTGGTTTCGAACTCCTGACCTTGAGTGATCCTCCTGCCTCGGCCTCCCAGAGTGCTAGGATTACAGGCATGAGCCACCGTGCCCGGCCAAGGGAAGTTTTTGAAATGGCTATGAGAGCTGCTCTGAAAGCTAGATGTGGAAAGAAAAAAATCTGGTTGTCCTCTCAGTGCCTTGCTGCAAGCACAGCGCTTATGTGGTTAATTTGGAAGTGCTGTTTATTAATTTCAGTGTATGATTACTGGCCTTTTTCATTTATCTATAATTTACCTAAGATTACAAATCAGAAGTCACCTTGCTACCAGTATTTAGAAGCCAATCATGTTTATTAATGATGTCCAACCAATCTGGCCCACCAGGGTCTTTCTGACACTGCTCTAACACCCCTTTTCTGTGCTCTCACCTGACATGCCAGGTGCTAATTCAAGGAATTTCTTAACATCTTACTTCTTCCTAGAAAGAGAAACAGTTGGAACTTTTGTGAATTAGGCTGTAACTACTTTGTAACTAACATGTCCTGCCTATCATCTGTCAGCTGCAACATATTCTGATGTGTCACCACTTCAGAGCTGTACTCCTTAACAGATTTCATTGACATAGCTCTGGGGTGTGCATCCAGTTTTTTGAAAATGTGCTCAGAGAGAAAGGCCCAAGCCCATGCAGCTGTGGCAAAGTTACAGTTCTGTGGTTTCATATTAGTTACCTTATAGTTACTGTGTAATTAGTGCCACTTAATGTATGTTACCAAAAATAAATATATCTCCCCAGGAAAAAAAAATAGAAAGGAATTCAGTCCTAATTACAACTAACCTTTACCTAAACATAAAGCATATAAAAAGAAAAACATAGAAGTAGACAGGGTTTTCTCCACTTGTGGAGACAGACCCATTTCCCCTTAGGAAATGTACCTTTGCTTTATACCCTTAAACTTCACTCACAATAAACTCTTCACAGATGCTTGCTGAGTGTCTGTCATCTCTCTCTGTTGTGCAGTCCAAGACCTACAATTCCTCCAAGCCAGAAGCCCAAAAATTGAGGCAACACTTGAAAGTCCAGCTATGCACTGAACCATGACAAGGCCAGGGCAGAAACAACAGCCAGCTTTTTGGTTCTGCCTGTAATTCAATTCCCACAATAAGTGAGTACCAAATAATATACAGGCCTCTAGGTAAGCAAAGCAAGGCAGTTTCTCCCCCAAAGTTATTAGAGCATAATTGAGAGACTGAGAAGTAGTCAATTACAATGTCATCCACAATAATAAACTGGTAAGGTATTTATCTTACAGTTTATTAGGGGACAATAATTACAATATAACTGTAACAATCACAGGCAACATTTATTGAGCACTTAGGTGATATGCACTGCATGTATTCACAATAGGAAGAAGTACCAACTATTTTTACTGTTTTACAGTTTTCTAAGTTAACAATTTGCTATAAGGTCACACAGTTATTAACTAGAAGGCTGTGATATGAACCTGGGTGATCTGCAGTGAACACCACTGTCTGATAATCCCAATGCTCTGCCACTTTTGTGACAGAGAATGTTCTGGAAGCACATAGACTATGTACTTAATCTAATCTGGGTTTTGTCATAAGATATTAATCAGGGAAGTAATCATATTTGCATTTAGAAATGATGGCTTTGACAGTATCAGGAGGGGGAATTAAAGGCCTAAGATCCTGAAGGAAGAAATGCCAATGATGCAATTATCCGGGTAAAAGGTAATGAAAAGTTGAAATAAAGCAATGGCAGTAGGGCTGGAATATAAAAGTTGTACTACTTTCTCACTAACGTTGACTAAAAAATAAAAAAAAGTTGTACTACTATCTGACATCTTAGATTCCTATTATAGAAACTTAACCTCCTCTGAAGAAGCCTTGCCTTTTTATTTCTAACTTGGGTTTTGAATTCCTTCCTCTGACCTATTTGTCCTATTCCAACTACTTCCAGTGGTAGAGGGAAGTGAACAAGATATGTAAGGTAGAGACAGCCAGGTAAGAATGGATAACAATAAGCATCTGTATAGTGCTTTCATATACATTATCTGTCTTAATGTTTACAACAAAGCTGTGAGGTTGGTGTTCTCTCTATTTGGAAATGAGAGACTGAGGCCTAGAAAATTAAAGGGACATGCCAAGATGACATAATGAGTAAGAGGCAAAGTTGGGTTAAATCCAAGCCTTTTCAGTCATCTACGAAGAAAGTAGAATTAGGCTAATAACAGAGTCTTCAATAGAACAATGGCAGTCAGAAAGACAGTGGATTCATACCTTCAGAATGCTGACAGAAAATAACCATCAACCTAAAATTGAGTGCCCAGCAAAATTATGTTTCAAGAATGAAGGGGCAGAAATAAAATAATTTCCAGATATAGCCAGGCATGGTGGGGCATGCCTATAGTTCCAGCTATTCAGGAGTCTAAGGCAGGAGGATCACTTGAGCCCAGCGGAGGCTCACCTGACTTCAGAAGTTTGAGGTTGCAGTAAGATGTGATCACACCACTGCACTCCAGCCTGGGTGACAGAGCGAGACCCTGTCTCATTAATAAACAAATAAATAAATAAAATCTCAGTTAATAGAGTTAAGACATAATTTAAGACTTTAAGATAATTATTGAAGGTAAGACTTAAAAGCTAACCACAAAAGTAATACTGTATATAACTTCTAATTTAACTGAAGGAAAAACTGGACTAAAGGGAAAATATACTTTAAACAAAACCGTAACACCTTCATTGGCATAAAAAAACAGGATGAAAAGAAAGCACTAAAGCAACAAAATAGAAATAGATTCACATGTATCAGTAATACAATGTAAGTAAAGTAAACTTTCTGGTTAAAAGCTAGAGATTGATTTAAAAATACATACTATTTATAAGAAACACACCTAAAACATCAAAGATCATGAGAAGTTGAAAATAAAAAGATGGAGAAGATGCAGCAGATAAATGTCAACTAAAAGATAGTTGGTATAGCTATATTAATGACAATTAAACTTTAATATGAAAAGCATTATCATTGACCAAAAAACTCACTGCAAAATAACAAAAATTGCATTTCCAGGTAAATATCACTATTCAAACTTTTGTCTGCAATAAATATTTCCAAAATATTCCAAAACTCCTGAAGGTAAAAAGATAAAAAAGAAAAAAAAATAAAAGTTTTCAAAATATGTCAGTCAGAAATTGATAAAACACAGAAGAAACTGGCAAACCCACTAGTACATTGTGAAATTTTATCTCCATTATTGGTAGATCAAGCAAATGAAAAGTCAGGAAAGACAAAGATTTGAACAAAACACCACCAGACAGGTGAAAACACGGAATCACAGATAGGCTGGCCTTTGTTTCTCCTGATTGAAGCGGCCTTCCCAGCCTGTGTTTGTCAGAAGCATCTCAAAGCAAATATACTAGCTGCAGCCATCTGTGGCAAGGGATAAAATTTCCCATCTCAGGGCAAGCAGAGACAGGAAATCCTGGGAAGGAAAGGCTGGGGAAGGAGATATATGGGGGAGTAAAGGCTGGGAAAAGCTCCTGTGCACAGCAGGGAATTAGAAGGCTGATGTGTCCAGGGCTGGGCACACACCCAGAGAAGACCCTAAGCTTTCACTTCGGTGACCTTAGGTTCCCTGCAAGCAGGAAGTGAAGGCTAAGGCAGAATTGCAAATGGCCTGGCTAAGTGTTGAAGAAGTACCCCAACACAGAGCCAATATGCAAAGCCCTGGAGGATACTTTCATTTTTCTTTTTAATTTTTCTTTTTGAGACAGACTCTGACTCTGTTGCCTAGGCTAGAGTGCCGTGGCATCAGCATAGCTCAGAGCAACCTCAAACTCCTGGGCTCAAGTGATCCTCCTGCCTCAGCCTCCCGAGTAGCTGGGACTACAGGCATGCACCACCATTCCCGGATAATTTTTTCTATATATTTTTAGCTGGCCAATTAATTTCTTTCTATTTTTAGTAGAGACAGGGTCTCACTCTTGCTCAGGCTGGTTTCAAACTCCTGACATTGAGCAATCCACCAGCCTCAGCCTCCCAGAGTGCTAGGCCATGAGCCACCACACCCGGCCTAATTTTTCTTTATTCTTTTTTTTTGTTTCTTGGCTCCAGGCATTTAGGAATCGCTCTGTCAAATCTTACAAGCAAGAAGAGACTGGGGCCCATTCTCACTCTTCTCAAATAGAATAATACCCAGCCTAGAATCTTGTACCCTGCAAAACTAAGTTTCGTGGCCAGGCACAGTGGGTCACGCCTGTAATCCTAACACTCTGAGAGGCTGAGATGGGCGGATCACTCAAGGTCAGGAGTTCAAAACCAGCCTGAGCAAGAGTGAGACCCTGTCGCTACTATAAATAGAAAGAAATTAACTGGACAGCTAAAAATATATAGAAAAAATTAGCCGGGCATGTGCCTGTAGTCCCAGCTACTTGGGAGGCTGATGCAGTAGGATTGCTTGAGCCCAGGAGTTTGAGGTTGCTGTGAGCTAGGCTGATGCCATGGCACTCTAACCCGGGCAAGAGAGTGAGACTGTGTCTCAAAAAACAAACAAACAAAAAAAAAAACCCAAAAAACAAAAAACTAAGTTTCCTATACAAAGGAGAAATAAAGACCTCAGATAAGCAAAGACTGAGGGAATTCATCAAGACAAGACCTACCCTCCAGGAAGTACACAAAACAGTACTGCACACAGATCAGCACAATAAATAGTCACCAGTGTAAAAGTCATCCAGAAGCTAATCATCAAATGCCAGATACCACAATGGCTTGAGGGAGAAAGCAAGGCAACAAAGTAGAACTCAAGGGGATGAACGGAAATCTGCCCCTGCTTATCAATTCTCTCAAGAGACATAGGCCAGCTGAATGGACAAATACACAGAAGCCAAGCATCTGCTGTCTTCAGGAAACACATCTAACCCACAAGGATGCATTCAGACTCAAGGTGAGGGGATGGAAAATAATATTTCAAGCAAACGGACGCCAAAAGAAAGCTGGTGTGGCAGTTCTGATTTCAGATAACTTAGTCTTCAAATCTACAAAAGTAATGAAAGACTATATAATGGTGAAGGGTACAATTCAACATGAAGACATAACAATTCTAAACATTTATGCACCTAACTCAGGTGCACCCAGTTTCATAAAGCAAGTCCCACTTGATCTAAACAAAATGATACACAGCAACACAGTAATAGCCGACTTCAACAACCCTCTGGCAGAACAGGACAGATCCTCCAAATAGAATATAAACAAAGAAACAATGGCCTTAAATAGAACTCTACAATAAATGGGCCTGGCTGACATTTACAGACCATTCTACCCAAAAAACCACTGTATATAAACGTTTCTCATCATCTCATAGGACATTCTCTAAGATTGACCATAGCCCAGGCTACAAAGCATGTCTAAAAAATTGAAAAAAAAAAATATAGAAGTTATATCATAGGACGGGCGCTGCAGCTCATGCCTGCAATCCTAGCACTCTGGGAGGCCAAGGCAGGCGGATTGCTTGAGGTCAGGAGTTCAAAACCAGCCTGAGCAAGAGCAAGATCCCATCTCTACTATAAATAGAAAAAAATTAATTGACCAATTAATATATATAGAAAAAATTAGCCGGGCATGGTGGCGCATGCCTGTAGTCCCAGCTACTCGGGAGGCTGAGGCAGTAGGATCGCTTGAGACCAAGAGTTTGAGGTTGCTGTGAGCTAGGCTGATGCCACGGCACTCACTCTAGCCTGGGCAACAAAGCAAGACTCTGTCTAAAAAAAAAAAAAAAGAAAGAAATTATATCATGTATCTTCTCAGACCACAGAAGAGGAAAATTAGAAATCAACTCCAACAGGAACTCTCATCTGGACACAAAGTCATGGAAACTAAACAACGTTCTGTTGAATAATCATTGCGTTAAGGAGGAAATCAAGATGGAAATCAAAGAACTCTTTGAACTAAATGATAAAGGAGACACAAATTGTCCAAATCTGTGGGACACTGCTAAAGCAGTCCTGAGAGGAAATTTGTATCTGTAAAATGCCTACATCCAAAAGACAGAAAGATCACAAATAAACAATCGAATGAATCATCTCAAAGAACTGGAAAAGGGTGAGCAAACCAACCCCAAACCCAGCAGAAGAAAAGAAATAGCAAAGATCAGAGCAAAACTATATGAAATTGATAACAAAAAAACTATATGAAAGATTAATAAACAAAAAGCTGGTTCTTGGAAAAAATTAACACGCTTCTTGCTAGAGTAACAAGAAGCAGAACAGAAAGGACTCTAATAATGTCCATTAGGAATGAAGAAGGAGAAATTACAACTGATGCCACAGGAGTACAAAAATACTCACGGAATCATAAAAAACCTCTCTGCACATAAACTTGAAAATGTGAAGGAAATAGACCAACTCTTAGAAACAGCCTCTATAGGCTCAATCAGGAAGAAATAGAATTCCTGAACAGACCAATATCAAGTACTGAAAATGAAGTAGCAATAAAAAAACCTTCCTAAAAATAAAAGTCCCAGACCAGATGGTTTCACACTCAGATTTTATCAGACCTACAAAGAAAAACTGGTGCCTATCCTTTAGAAATTATTCCACAACATCCAGAAGGAAGGAATCCACCCGAACACATTTTATGAGGCCAACATCACTCTGATGCCAAAAACAGAAAAAGACACAACAGATAAAGAAAACTACAGACCTATATCCCTTGTGAATATAGATGCAAAAATTCTCAACAAAATACTAGCAAACCGAATTCAGGTGTTTATCAAAAAAATAATCCATCATGACCAAGTGGGCTTCCTCCCAGAGATGTAAGAATGGTTCCACATATGAAAATCCATAAATGTAATTCACCACATAAATAGAAGCAAAAAAAGAAACCATATGATCCTCTCAGTAGATGCAGAAAAACCATTTGACTAAAGTCAGCACCCTTTTATGATAAGAATGCTTAAGAAAACAGGCAGAGACAGAACTTACCTAAAAATGATACAAGCCATATATCACAAATCCACAGCCAACATTTTACCCAACAGGGAAAAATTGAAACCATTCCACTTAGAACTGGTACCAGACAAGATTGCCTTCAATCACCACTTCTCTTCAATATAGTGCCGGAAGACCTAGCCAGGGCAATCCTACAAGACAAGGAAATCAAGGATATCCAAACAGGGACAGATGAAGTCAAAGTATCGCTCTTTGCTGATGATATGATCTTATATCTAGAAAACCCCAAGGATTCTACCATGGGACTACTGGAATTGATACACAAATTCAGCAAAGTCTCAGGTTACAAAATCATTGTACAGAAATCAGTAGCATTCCTATACACCAACAACAGTCAAACTGAGAACCAAATCAAAGACTCAAAAGCCTTCATAATAGCAACAAAGAAAATAGAATACCTGGGAATATATTTAA